GGGTTGGAACTTCCAGATCAAAGCTGGAATGACTACCCACTACACATCTTTGTAGAAAAGGAAGCAGTAAAGAGATGGGAATTGAGATCATGCAGAAAACCCTTGAGATCTGCCCCCAACTGACTGATAGATACTGCCTCTAAGTTTCCTTTACCTCTCAAATGATTCTCGAAGCTGGAAACCAAGTGTGCAAGCACAGGCACTGTTGGGGATGTTTTTCATTCAATCAACAATGTGTGCTTAGGATAATTGTCATGACCAACGGAGATAACTCATGCAACACAGCAAACAGCTTTTGATGAAATACTGTATAATTTTGGTTATTGTTCTTATACAAAATATGCCACATCAAGTTAAGAATAAAATTTTTAAGATTCTTTGGTACCTGGAATATATTTGTGGCTTGATTGAACTGTAACTTGATTTCTTAATATTGTTGATGAAAAATTTTCGACCCTAACAGTTTAAACAGTTTGGTAAATGTGGTGATGGAGGTAATTGGGAAATGATGTGTGTGTGTGTGTGTGTGTGTGTGTGTGTGTGTGTAAAGAAGAAGAAGAAGAAGAAGAAGAAGAAAAGAGATAAGTTATAAAAGAAATAATCCACCAGCCAATAAAAGTGATCCTTAGAAAATATGTAAAATACACTGAAGAGTATTATGGGTATTTTATATGTACTAACATATATATTCTGAGCAAGAAACAGAAAACATAAGGGCTTTATCATGTTCATTTTAAAGATGAGGAAGCGGAACATTTAAAAATGCTAAGTGGTATGATGAAGTCTCAGAAGTAATAAGTTGCATGTCGGATTTACCCTGATGTGGTTGACTATGTGGATGACATGTGAGTTCGCAAAAATGCCACTCCAAATTCACTGAAGCACAAACACTCCTGTGCTGTTTAACTTACATCATCCACAGCAACATAATCACACATGTGTGTGCTGTTTTATGTGCAGTGACAGACAGTTGTTCTGTTTTTAGTAACCCTGAAGCTATGCGTGTAATTTATCACTGAAAAAAATAAATGGAAGAGAAATAAAAAAGAAATCTCAAAAGAAAGAATAATTAAGAAGTAGGAAAATGAGTCTTAGAAAAATGAGAAAAGCTTATGTTCAATTAGTTAGCAAAAAAAAGTAATCATGGTGCATATTTCTTTATTTTACTTCTCTAAAGCAGAAAATAGTTATTTTCATACAATACATTCTGATCATAGTTTCCCTTCCCTTCTCCTGTCCCAAATTCTCCCTAGATTCCAATCCCTCCAATGCTACACCTTCTTTTTCCCTCTCTTAAACAAACAGACAAATAAAAAAAAGAATAAAACAAAACAAACAAGCTAGCAAACAAAAACAAGGAAACAAAGAAAGAACATGAGAAATTCATACATATGCAGACACACACACACACACACACACACACAAGCCTCACAAAAAACACAAAATCACAAACCACAATACACAAACAAAAGAGCAGTAAAAATCAACGCCCAAATAAAGCAATGTGAGACAAAAAAAAAGAAGAAAGAAAAGAAAAAGAAAACAAAATAACCTCCAAAAATACCTTTGAGTTTGTTTTCTGTTGCCCATCCACTGCTGGGCATGGCTTTATATCCTTTTCTTTTATATCACACACACACACACACACACACACACACACACACACACACACACACATCATCATCATCATCATCATCATCATCATCATCATCATCATTATCAACATCACTCTACCACCTCTGCTACTGCCTTCACTACATCATTTCAGCTGCCGGAGTCTAAAATTTTGTGTTTATTTGTTTGGGTTTTAATTTTTTTGGTTCTGTTTGTTAGAGAGAGAAAGAGGACTAGAACATGAAATTGGAGTGGGTAGGGAGGTAGGGAAGATATGGGAGGACTTCGGGTTGGGGAAAGAATATGACCATAATATATTGTCTGAAAACATTTTAAGCCGGGTGGTGGTGGCACAAGCCTTTAATCCCAGCACTTGGGAGGCAGAGCCAAGCAGATCTCTGTGAGTTCGAGGCCAGCCTGGTCTACAGGGTGAAATCCAGGACAGGCACTAAAACTACACAGAGAAACCCTGTCTTGAAAAACCAGATATATATATAATAACCAGAAATAAATAAAAGAACAAGATTCTCAAAAAAATAAATAAGTGAAGCACATTGGGGCATAAAACATCAAAGATGGCATGATTCTCACTTTTATCTGAGGTTCCAATTCACCTCAGCTTAGGATATTTAAACACATCCCTAATTCCTGAAAACCATATATGTACTATTAGTAGTCAGTGTTCCATGACTTAAAGGGATGAGGTTCTGACCCTCTTTTCCAGAACAACTTCTATTTTTAAATAGCCATTTGTCTGTTTTCTTGGAACTTCTTTTACTATGATGAAACACCATAACCCAAATCAACTTGAGGAGGAAAAGATGTATTCTAATTACACTTGTACATCACAGTCCCTCACAGAAAGAAGGAAAACAGGCACCAGGAGGCAGGAACTGATAGAAAAGTCACAGAGGAGTTCTGCTTACTCACTGTCCCTTCTGTTTTGCTCAGCCTACTTTCTTATACACCCAGAGACTGCCAGCCTAGGGATGGCATCTCCAACAGTGAATGGGGCCCTTCTACATTTGATATCTACCAAGAAAATGCACCACAGACTGTGTCCAGATCAGTCTGGTGGGGATGTTCTTTCAATTCAGTTGCTTCTTCCAAAATAACTCTAGCTTTTATCTAGTTGAAATAACACTAGCCATCCTATTTATTTATTTATTCATGTGGTTTGTTTTTTGTTTGTTTGGATTTGAGACAGGGTTTCTTCTATGTAGTCCTGGCTGTCCTGGAACACTCTTTGTAGACCAGACTGGCTGCGAGGTCAGAGATCCACCTGCCTTTACCTCCTGAGAGCTAGGATTAAAGGTGTGCAGCCCCACTGACCTGCTATTCATCCTTTTAATGTGGGTCTGCATGTATGTCTGTGAAGCACACACCACCCTAGTGGCTGCAAAGGGCAGAGGAGAGCATTGGACCCCTGGAACTGGAGTTAAATACAGTTACTAGCCACCATATGCATGCTGGGATTGGAAAATATGACCTCTGGAAGAGCAGCAAACGTTCTTAACCACTGATCCATCTCTCCAGCTTCTCCAGATGGCTTTTTCACAAATAATTTGTCTTTCTGAAACAAGAATCAGTCTTTCGTACTTTCTAGCATGATAACAAAAATCCCTTCCCCTGGGACTATTTGTGGGGTCTGTGTTTCCTAAACTTAGGAAGCAAATCTCCTGCCTGACCATCTTCCATGCACCACGGGATTTTACGATTGGGAGAAATTGTTGCAAACACCTAAAGCTCCTCTGTGTGTCATGCTGGGGACATGGCTCTGTCCATGTAATCCAGGAATCATCTGTCCTTTCTTAGAATCCACAGTGGTAGAGAAATTGAATTTACAAGCAGAGTAAACTTTCAGACATGATATGTTTCTAACTTTAGATATTGACAGTTTTAAAAAAAAGTTAACAGAACTGTGTACTGAATCCTCTCTAAAGTCTTTATGAGCTTTAACAAGAATCAACACATGAGCAGCCTTGTTCCACTGATGGCTTTTAGTATTTTGAAGACTATAGCTATCATACCACTTCCTACTTAAGTATCTCTGTAACAATCTCTACAATTAAAAAAGAAGTCACCACAGTATCATCAGCATACCTAAACTTAATAAAAACTCTCTAATGCAACCAAATGAACAGCAGGATCTCAGATTTCCAATTGTCACAAACATCTTAAAAACAAACAAACAAAAACCATTTGAGTATATGTGTGCAATTCATGCATGCCTGGTTCCTGCTGAGGTTAGAAGAGGGCTTCCAATTACCTGGAATTGGAATTACAGATGCTTGTGAGCCACAACATGCCTGTTGAAAACTAATCTGAGGTCTTCTGTAAAAGGAACAAGCATGCTTAACCACTGAGTCCTCACTCTAGCCCCCAAACACCTTTCTGAAAATTTAATTCTCTGAATTCAGATGAAGTCAAAGCCAAATGAATGATGTTCCTGTTTCCCACACTCTTGTACCTGAGACTTCTTTTCATTCTTTGTTATCGATTTGTTGGAGAACTGCAGATGCTTGTCCACAGTCTGGATTCTGTTGGCTGCTTTCTGGTTGTATCTATTAATATGCATCTCAGTTCTCTGTGTTTTCTGTGACTGGTTAGGGAATGGAAGCTAACTCACACTCCTATGCCTTTCCATTTTATGTAAAGTCCATCTTGAATGCATTGTTCTTTCACTGAAAGTTTTCCTTTTCTGTGAGTTTTTCTCCCTTTTGTTTGGGATGATTAGTCCTTAATTTCAAGACCCATTAACTAATCTGTCTACAAAATAATAATTTCACCATTTCATATTTATTTATTACCTATCAAACCTCAACATAGAGAAACTTTCCTTCAAGAGTATTTGGTCCATAAAAGAAAGCTAAGATGATAAATGCTGGTGTGCTCCTTTATTTTCCTATATTCAGAAATTGTATGGATTTTTAAATTTAATTTACTTTTAAAATTACCTGAAATATTTACTTATTCCTAAATAAAACCTGCAATTGTTAAGTACAGTGAAATGGTTATTTATCTTGGTTGAACTTTAAGGCTTTAAACCTAAAATTGAATTGTTTTCTTTTTTACATTATATCCTATATAAATATTTTCAAGTTTATCTTTTTTTTTTTTTAACACATCTCCAACAGATTTATAAAGGAATGGCCTAAGGGAGAAAAAAAAATGGGGTACAGAAGTATGGACTAGAAAATAAATACAAATGTAAGCTGTTTTACTAATTATTTTATAACCACAAACTCGTGCAGAGGATGATGCCCTGTACAAAACACAACAGATTCAAACGAGGTGTTCCCTTAGCAAGGCTGAAGAGTCAGTCTCTGGTATTTGGAATTTAGGATGCAGTCCTTGTGTTTGGATGGATCACTGGGTGAATGCTTTTAACCAGATTTGAACAGAAGAATGGCCACCTGACACAGGTAGAAGTAGATGAAGTGTTTGGTTTCATGTGTCACATAACTATCGAAGTTTCGCCCCACAATGCAGTGCCAGGTGGGGTTGTACTTCTTGTCAAACTCCTTCTTGATATGGGCCGCAATATCCTTCTCTGTGTTGTACTTCTCCAACGCCTGGGTTGCGCACTCCACCGAGTCCTGTTGCATCTCTTCCGACATGTCTGCATTTTTGATCACCGCCTTCCGGTCGCACATGGTTGCCGTGAAGCAGGGGCCAGCCGGCTGCTGCGAGCTCCTAGGGAAGGTGCTGGCGCCGCTCAGGCAGCTGAGGAGAGCCCTCTTTTTTTTTAAATAAGTATGTAACATATCATGGTACAACTCCCTTTCTTAAATGAATAATTGCATGTGATATATTTATCTCTTCCTATCTTTTTTTTTTTTTTTTTACTCAAAAATGGACCAGAAAGTTCCTCTCGTAGAACTCTCTAGAGACATTCCTTATTCCACATGACTTCCTGTCTTGTGGATATATCATAGTTTATTCTATCTCTGCTCTACTGCTGGGCAGGAGTTGTTTTACTCTTTTTCTAAAACAAATATCCTTCCATGACCAGCATTGTGGGCATGTTAGAATTTTGTTTATGAGTGGTTTGTTTTGTTGGTTGGTTTGGGATGTTTGTTTGTTTCACATGGTATGTTTTGAGACAGTTTTCTGGGATTGAGACTACCAGCTTCCAAAGTGAAAGTGCTTGCAGAGTTGTAACATTACCTATTTTGATCACAACCAACAGTTCTTTTGTAAAAGATTACTCGTGTGGGGGTGTACATTCAGTTGTGTGTGTGTGTGTGTGTGTGTGTTTGTGTGTGTGTATGTGTGTGTGTCACAGCACACTTGTGTAGGTCTGATGACAATTTGTGTGAGATGGTTCTTTCCTACTTTGCTGACATGGGGTCTCTTACTTCTCCTGAAAGTTTCTGACTGATTCTCCTGTCTCTGTCTCCCATTTTACCATATCATTGATGGGATTACAAGTGAACACCACTGCATCTTGCTTTTATAATGTGTTAACCAGGATCAAACTCAGGTTGTCAGGCATGCACACCAAGCACATTTATGCTTTTGCCTACTATACCATCTCAGCAACTACAACCAACAGTTTACATTTTTATGGAGATTAAGTGTCTGCACAAGACTGTCGTTGCAAAACACCACCCAGACTGAAAATTTTTGTCAGTCTTATAGCTTGAGTTTCTATTTTTCTTACTATGTTATTTTTTTTAAGTGTAAAAAGGGTGATTTGCAATATTTTGTTCTGCAAACTGCTCATTTCTGTATCTCATGTTTCCATATGGAGGTGACATTTTTCTTATTTTTAGAAATTTGTTGTACTTTTTACAGAAACACAGTCTATTTATGAGTACATCACAACTTCCTATCACTGGCCCTGAGCTCTGCATGTAACTGAAGACTCAAATTCCCAACTCTTCACTCTATATCCCCATGCACTTGTTTAAGTATTGAAATTTCAACAAGTTACAAATGGAGCTACCTACCCGCCAATTTCTTCCACTGCAATAAAAAGTATCCCCAGCACTTAAGATCTGTCTTCACTCAAAAAGCTTGTTACACACTTACTGTGTCAGCAGCTGCTATTGTTCCACCTTCAAACGGTACTCGAAAGCTTCCTTCTGCTCTAGTCTATTTCTCAACTCTGACCCTAATTTTCATCCTAGCTTCCTATTGGAAACACTCCTGTACTCTCTGGAGTCTCCCCTTGCTGTAGACTTAGCATCATTCAATGTGGGCCTTAAAAATATGTTAGACACTTAAACTGTTATAAAATCTAACATCCTATCAGTAGACACTGAGCTGTGTGTCATGTCTTACAGCCATCAACTGCCATTTCTCTGACAACACCTTCCACTGAATGCCCTGGTACTCATTCATTTCTGATAACACTGGTTATCTTATTAGTTTTTTGAGCAAACTCATCATACTCTAACCTCAAATCTTTGACATTTGAACTGTTCTTCCTCCAATACTTTAATGGTCATTTACTCATCTTTGCCAACAGTTTATAATGTGTCTAACTAGATCTCCAAGGCCTTCTCCAAATAAAGCCCCAGACAAAGTCACTCTTCACTGCCTGACTTCCAACTCCCATCTGCCCTCTTTCTTCTAATTCTTATAGGGCAATGGCATAATGGCTTGTTTGGTATGTGGTTCATTCACCAGGGGGAAGCCATAGGGATATGTACTTTGTGTAGTTCACTGATTTATGCAATCTTCTAGAGCCTTCCTGTCACAGAGTAGGCACTTTATTGATAGCAAGTGAATGAGTAAAGAATTTATGAATACCTAGTATACTTACTATGCTTTATGGGTTTCACAACTACAGCAAACAGAAATATATGTAAGTCAGTATAGTGATAAAAACCAATGGCGACAAAAACATAAAAAAATGCATTTAGTGTAAGGAAAACTTTGGTACATTTAGTGTAAGGAAAACTTTGGTATATATAACTTGAATAATACTTCCTCTCCAAAATAAAATAAAATAAAGAAGAAATAAAATGAAGAATCTTTTAATGATGGCTTACTTTTCAAGTTTATATAGAGCAGTATTTTATGAAGAATATAATTTTTGGAGCAGTCTCATTATTTATGTAGTTTATTTTGAATGATGAAGAAGATGATGATGATTTCAGAGCAATTGCACTTAAATCCAGATGAAAGCATTGCCTTGTGCTAGAATTAGTAACATGAAATTGTGATCCACCTAATTAATAATTTGAAATTGAAGTCAGTATGTATTCAGTGTATTTCAGTGAAGTATCTGGCTTATCATATTTATAGTACTACATGATTACATGGAGGGCATTGGTTTGTGTTGTCTGAATTAAATGTGTTTACTCAGTATTCCTGCATGATTACAAAACTTGACTGGAATTCATTTGGAAGCAACAAGGATTCTTTCTACCTGCTGTTTCTTAGTTGAGAAAATTCAAATTTACCTCAATAAGACATTCTTTTTTCTTTAATAAGTGATTTATAATTTCACTCACTCTAATTTACTGTAAGCAAAGCATCAGATTAGTAATGTGCTTAATATGAGTTATTAAGTTTCCATTAGACTGAATTACCACCCCTAGAGACCTGCAAATCTACTCTGGATTAATTTGCATCTCCAGTGCCTACCTACACAGAACCTTTTCTAAAGTGCCGCAGATACATGAGCTCATATATATGAGCACACTTCACCAAAACCAGGAAATCATCTTAAAAGAGCTTAAATTCTAAGGGTTGTATGTTATTTGTAACAATTATAGTTTAAAACATAATTTCCAGATAGCCTGTGTCAAAATCCATTTTCAATAAACTATACTAGAGCAGAAACCATATTAATTTTCTAATTGTACATAACAAGATCATCAATTTAATACAAGCACATAATTAATTGGTTTAATATTAAAAAGCATATAGGATGCAAGTTTTTCTGAAAGTTTTATAAACATCAAAGCAGAAATATCTATAGGGTTTACCTCCTCTAGCTTGAAGCAAGTCAGCTAATAATACTGCCTAGGAAACTTGACACTGTAGTAATGCATAGAGGCTGGGGATGTTTTATAACTGTAACAATGAAGTTTTGTCCAAACACAATGACACAATGATCATCTGGCAGCAGAACCCAGGTCCTTGCCTATGCAAAGTAAACATTCTGCCATTGAGCCATATCACTAGTTGATTTTATCTTCTAATACTAGATTAACATCATTTATTGACTTATGAACTTTATTTTGGGTGGTAATTGGAAAAATTCTAGAGAGTGGGTGTAGTCTCAATAGCTATTTTAAGAGGTGAATTTGCGCTGAGAATATGGTTACTGAAAGCACTGGGCTATTAACTAATGAAGCAAGTCTGTGCATATTTTCTAACCACATATCTGTAAAGCAGATTTATCAACTCAATTTCTCAAGGCTAATGAGGGTATCAGGCTGGATTAGGAGTCAGAAGTCCCTATTCCTCAACACACATGATTAACTCACATCTGTTCCCTAGTGCACAGCATTAATTTTAGAAGTAATGCTGCAGTATTAGTCTGAGTTGACCCAGAAAGGCACTGGATCACTCAAGGCAAAATTCTGTGTCCCCAATTCAATCAGATCCCTAAATCTGAAACATATCATCCACATCTTCATCCAAACTATAAAAAATAAGTATATAGAGAGTCAGAAAACCAGGTCATGTGACTATATTCCCTTGTCATCCCTCTTATTCTGTATTTCCAAATTATTTTTTATTAAATCATGCTTAGGAAAGAATCACTTTCCTAGGTAAACTTTTAGTATTTCCAAAGACCTTCCTCATTTTAAATTATGAATTGTTTGAACCCAGTAGAAAATTCAAAAAGAAATAAATAAGGACATGAAAATTATCTGTAATCCAGTTTAGGTTTGTTTAAGGGGGAGCATGACTGCCTGAAATGAAGATAATGAATAAGGAAAAATCTTCAGATTCTGAAAAGTAGTAGTGAGTCCTCTGCAGCACTCAACAAAGATGCAATCAGAGCCAAAACTGCAGGAGCAGAATAGGACTGAAAAACAAACCAACAAACAAAGTGTCAAGTAATACTTAAGAGATGAAATCCAGGCTTTCTACTGTGAATGAACTGATAGCTGGTAATAAGAGCAATGAACATGAGACTTCTGGATATGTGTCATAAAGCACATTGGAAAGAGTTGAGGTCCTGGCACATCAGGTTGTGGACCAGCATCAAATCTACATCCTAGCATATGCCACCCACGTGACCTTGAATGTGTGACCTGGCTTCTCTGAATGTCAGTTCAAAGAGAAGTTTTTTGTCTGATTATTTCAGAATTGTTTGGAAGTATAAATTTGATAACTAAAGTTCCCAGACTGCACATATAATGTGCTCAGCAGCCAGTATGATTTCTGTTGCTAAAGTGAGATAGAAAAAAAAAAAATAACAAGGAGATGAAGACTGGGGATGTGAGGCTCAATGGTGATATTGGTGTTAGTATCCGGTTGTTGTGTGACTTTTCCTGGAAAGAGATGGATAAATACCTAATCCCTAACAACAGACTGAAGAAACCAGTACACCAGTCTAGCTTAGCGTACCATGCTAACTAAGGAAGATAGTTAACTCAAAGGCAGCTGCATCCCAACAAAGAAAATTGCTGCTGCTTTTATGGGGAGAGTCCTTTTAACCTTCTAAGTTTTAAGAACTTCCAAGTACTTGTAGTTTTTATTTCTGAAGACTTGTAAGATTCATTTATTTCCTCCCTTCAGGAGGGAATGTTTTGATTTGG